GTTGGTGCAATTACTCCTTCTGGCTTAAACCGCCGCTTTCCGTTTAGACTAACAAATTGTAGCTTCATCCAAAAGTTTCCAAGGAGGTGGCATTTATGATTCTGGGTCAAAAGTCGGCCTTAATACGAATACCCTCATTCTATTCGCCTTCTGCCTATGTGTCGCAATTGTGTTTAGCTATGTCTACGTATTGCTGGCTCGCCAATTTCCCAAGCAATTCATTTGGATAACGTAAGTCAAGTTTAGAAGTCTTCTAAATGAGAATGACATCACTAGGTACTAATGGTCGTAGTGGTATCCTTAACATTGTCTTTGGTTTGGTTACGGCGATCTACATGCTGACACGCCATTACTACTCTGGTGGTATCGTATTTTTGATATTTGTAGCTTTCCTAATATTTGCCTTCATCGTAAGATCATCCCTTATACTCGTATTCATGCTTTTACTTACTAATTTTTTAGACTTGGATTCCACGGATTCCCTTTAGTGCTCTTATGCTAAAGACCGCTGTCGATGTTTCAAAGAGCTATGGCCATGTCTATCTCGTTAGCGCACTCGGTGGCCTTTGCGCCACAGCTCTCGCTGCATGGTACTCTGTCACCCTTGTAGCGGTATATGCAAAATACTCCCCGGGGCAAAATCCAGCTTGCGCCGAGGGGGCGGGCGGTTGCAGCAACGCCAAGGTCAAGGGTCTAATCGTTTTCATCACATTTGCAATGTACTGGATATCGGAATGGCTGAAAAATACCATCCACACAACGATTTCTGGAGTTTACGGATCTTGGTATTTTCACCCACAGAACCTCCCCAGGGGTGCCACCCGAGGCAGTCTTCGAAGAGCACTCACATATAGCTTTGGTTCCATTTCTCTTGGTTCGTTAGTTGTGGCCATCATCAACTTTCTGAGACAGCTGTGCTCCGTCGCTCAACAGAGTGAGGCTTCCGAAGGTAACATTGTTGGGATGGTTATGTTCTGGATCCTTGGATGCATTATTGGGCTCCTGGACTGGGCGGTGCAATTCCTCAATCGCTACGCCTTCTCATACATCGCATTATACGGGAAACCCTACTTTGCTGCTGCGAAGGATACGTGGACTATGATCAAGGACCGCGGCATCGATGCACTCGTCAATGAATGTCTCATTGGCCCAGTCCTCTCCATGGGAGCTACATTTGTGGGATATGCGACAAGCTTGCTTGCGTATCTGTACCTCGTAAGGATTCTCATGGAAATTGCAAGGAGAAGACGGCCGCTTACATTTCATTCTAGGTATTTACTAAGCCATCCTACAACTCGGACGGCTCTTACACTGCCGGTAAGTCTATTCCTATGCCTGTGGATTTCTGCATGCGTGTAGCCTGTTGAAGTAGTACCTTCAACGATTGATTGGCTAACTCTGTGTAACAGTCGTGGTGGCCTTCGCCTTCCTCATCGGCTTGCAGATCTGCAACATCTTCACGACGCCGATAAGCAGCGGCATCGATACGATATTTGTAGCTTCAGCATGGGATCCTCAGGCTTTGATGCAGAACCATCCCGATTTGTACGGCGAGATGGTTCGAGTCTACCCGCAGGTCCAGGTAGCTATCCATGCCTAAACGTAGGATGGTCGCGTGATTTGAAAGATGGCGCTCTATGGCTCCGTGATCGTCTAGTGCCACCGCTTTCAATTTAATGGTTAATAGGATTCATTGTGTTGCAGTAAGTTATAATAGCATAATGATGATTTGGAAATGGGCAACCTACTATAGGTTATTATAATAATACATCGACTCGAAACTTCTCTTCGATATACGCGTTAATGCGGCAAAGTGGTGAAATTTTTATTTGTTGGAGGCGACGATTGTTGAACATATTCAGTAACCCCCACTCGATGTATGGCCTAAAAATAGGGGTCGGGTTCCCTCCAGGGCTGAGTTCTAGGCCCTATGCAGCTAGCTCGATGCAGCTAAAGCATTCGCTGCAGCGGGCTGGCTCAAGCGAGATTGTCGATCTAGGCTGCCAACCCGGCCTGGGTTAGAATAGTTGAATACCAAGACCAAGACCAATACCCAGACCAGCAACAATGTCCGATCCTATTAGGCAACGCGGCCGGATCGCGATAATGGAGTCGACTCCCTCTGGACGGCCAAAGAAAAAAACAAATAGGCAACAATGCCTGCCTATCTTGTCACGACGTGATCGTTGTAATTCACGAGGGATTCATGGGATTGATTGAGTGGTATATTATGATAGGATTTTACCCCAAATCCGTGGCGATACTGGCGCGGAGTAGTAGATGTCCGCTTACGAGACCAGCGCGACTCATTCTCCGTTCATCAGCTGCGCCGCGAAGATTTTTTTCACTCTCATCCTCATCCTCATCATCCTCAATCTTGCGCTCATCCTTACCTTCTCTGAACCGGCTCACGCGAGTGCGAGGGCTTCAATCCCGCACAATGGCATCCTCCAGCAACAATCCCTTCTCCACCCTGTTAAACCGCGACCCCCTCACGGCCCGCCTAGCCATCCTGCAGCCGGCCGCGGACCAAAATGCGCCTATCGAACTAACGCTCACTGATGCGGTACTCAAGGACACATCGTACGAATGCATATCGTACGACCGGTCCTCAAAACCCACCCCTGGGGTAGACAACAATGCCACTATGACGGTAACCGTCGACGGCGTCCCGCAGGACATCCCTAAGCAGCTAGGCGACGCCCTACTCACCTTCCGGCGCAAGAACCGCCCGCGCACCCTCTGGGCAGACGTCCTCGTAGGCCGCACCCCCACGGAGCTTAGCGCGCAAGCCGGGGTCCAGCGCGCGGTCCTCGAAGGCGCCGAACGCACCCTCTGCTGGCTCGGCCCGGACAAGGGCGAGACCACGACACTAGCCTTCGAAACGATCGCCGAAATGGGCCGGCGCTTCGAGGAGGCCGCTCGCGCCGTAGGCTTAAGTCCTGACGATCGCCTGTCGTCGGCGACCCTGCAGCAGATGGACGGGATCCGGGAGCGCTTGCACAATTGCAGCTTAGGCGACCTGAATTCCCTCAACTTCCCCGTCTGGCGCCAGATCTACGACGTCCTGCGGGCGCCGTACTGGCGCACGGTGCAAGTCGTCGCGGACATCGTGCTCGCGCCCGCGCCCGTTGTCGTCTGTGGCCGGGGGAATATCCGCTGGGCGTCGTATATCGCAGCCACGCGCGCGTTGCCGCTTTTCCAGGTTAAGTTTTTCAAAGTCCCGCTTGCGCCTAACGTGGCGAGGGGGTTCGAGATCGCGAACCAGATCGAGGTAGCTGAGAGGCGGAGACGGCTGGGCGAGTCGATTGAGCTGCTGCCTATGGTGCAGACGGCGCGGGAGTGCGAGCCGCGGGATCCGAGGGAGAGTATTTTTTCCATGCTGCTTATTGCGACGCCGTCGAAGCGGGTGGAGTTTCATAAGGCGGGGCCGCAGCCACTGCCGAGTATTGATTATAACAAGACGGCGCAGGAGGTGTTTGTTGAGGCGGCGCGGTACTCGGTGCTTGAACGGCAGGATTTGATGTTGTGGTTTGCCGAGCGTCCTCCCTGCGCGAGAAGGACGAAGGGGCTTCCGAGCTGGGTTCCTGATTATGGTGCTGTATCGCCCAAGGTTGGTGCTTTATTTAATCCGAACGGCGGCATGCGACAGTGGTGGGAAAACATCAAGCCCGAGACGGTGAGGAAGCCGATTACTATTACGGCGGATAACGCACTATGTCTACAAGCCCGGCCGCTCGACCGTGTTGTTCATGTCTCACCCATATTCAACGGGGGCAACGCGCGCCGCCTCTGTTATCTCGAGTTCCAAAAACTTCATGAGGCCATGACCTCTTCCTCTCCTTCATCATCCTCCTCACCCGCACCCCCAAACCCCTTCTCAAAAGAACCACTCGCCACCATAACCCAACGCTTCTGGCGAACCCTAATCCTCAACTCCGGCGGCTCTAGATCCGCCTCCAACACCCTCAGCGACAGCGTCCCACCCCCCGACGACCTTGGAGTCTCCTTCGAAAGCATCCTCGCAGAAGAAGGCGTCCTCGCCGCCCTCGACTGCAGCAAGCACGAAGTACAGCTCCCCGAAAACGCCGCCCGCATCCGCGACTCCCCCGAAATCATGGCCCTCCTCCCGCGCTGCGGGAAAGCCGGACCCTACGAAGCGCTCCTAACCCACAACACAGTCGGACGACGATTCTTCTGGACCGAAGGAGGTCGGTTCGGGATGTCCTGTATAGAAGACGTGCGGGCCGTCGATTCAAATTTGGACCGCGACAACGATCAAAAGGTGGGGGATACGGCAGAGGGGGTGGAGGAGGTGGAGAAGAGGAGAATGGCGGATCTGGGGAGGATGATGAGTGATCCGATGGCGAAGATGATGACGGAACAATTCCAGCTTTACCTTAATGAGCGGGATCCCAATATGGCGCGTATACACGCGAAAGCTGTGCGCGGTGCGTTACCTGAGATGACTGAGGGTGCGTTGGGGAGGGTTGATGATGGGTTGAGGGAGGGAGATTTGGTTGTTGCTTGTGTGGGAGGTTTCTTACCTTATGTCATGCGGCCTAAGCAAAAAGAAGCAGAAACAGAAGGAGGGGCAGAAGAGAGAACGGAAGATGGGGCAAGTGAAGGAGGAAAGGGAAAGAGCAACGCCCAACCCGCAGAAGATACCCCAGAAGACCCATCTACATACGAGTACGTGGGAGAGTGCTACCTACACGGAGCCATGCAAGGCGAGGACTTCCAATCCACGCGCTTCTTCGGACAGAAGTACTGGAACGTGGACGTATCGAAGCTTGTCGACATCAAGATCGTATAAGCTACATCGCATGTGTATATAAACAACCTAGCCACGGCTTACTAATATTTCGAGGGGGAAAGGATTGATGGAAAGGAAAGAAAGTTTAAGAAGACAACCCACATCCGCCTTGCGAGTTTGTTCAAAACACATATAAGTTCCACTTGCGTATAAATCTCAATTGCGTGTGCCTCTCGGCCTAAGCGCCCGCGTAGCTCAATGGCTAGAGCGTGGGACTTTTATTCAAACGAAAATCAAATCCCAAGGCTGTGGGTTCGAGTCCCACCGTGGGCGGTCTTCTTTTTGCTCATTCTTACTCTGTATGGTATGGGTCAGCAACTATTTAACTTAGACGCCATACTTCTTTCTATATCTGCACTGAGCCTTGCCACTAGATAGCCTTGGAAAATTGTTTAAGCGCGGAGTAAAAGTAAGGGAAATAGAGTAGATGCTTTGACTTAATTTTTACCTCGTAAAAGCCGAAAGAAATTAGTGTATGAAAGTAGGGCTCACCTAATATGAGGCTAGTATCAGATAGTGGTCATTAATATACTTGACTCCACTGCTGTTCCGATGCGGCTCCTCTTTCTAGTGGAGTTGAGTATAGATATCTTGGGTGGGTAAGTTCCACTTCGTGGGAGCTAACCAACCGAGACATCTTCATCATGATAAGGCTTATCGATCTAATCGTATTGCTCACATTCATATGCTTCTCACCAGGTACATGAAGGATCCTAACATCGCCTAATTTGCCCAGACAAGACACAAGCTTTCGTAAAAGTAACGTAACGGCAAATCCGTCCAACGTCATATTAAAAGCAATCCTGGGTCTTGGGTTTGACCATAAAACCGCCCACCCTAAGCCCAAGTCATCAAATCACCTAACATACAAGTAGGGCCGTCCTAATCAAAGCAGTCCCCTCTCTCATGTCTTGCCCTGCCCTGTCCTCTTCTCTTTCTGTGAAGTATCAAAGCCACCCTAGGTAATACACGGTCAAAAGCTGCGATCTGCATCTGCATGGATGCCTCCTCCAGGTCCAGGTTCCCGTCCTCGTGTAATAAAGAAAATCATATCATCCAGTAGGCGGGTAAAAAAGACAGTCAGTCGAACCGCCCTAACCACTGCTATGCCATAGTTTAGTGGTATTTTGTCTTGTCCGCGTTACGCCATTACAACACCATTCCATCCCATAGCAACACAATAAAAGCGTAGAAAAGAAAACCCTGGAAATTGGTTATGAAGCAGGAAATTCTGGTTTGCCCGGTGTCTGCTTTCTCGTTCGCTCGCTTCTACTTCTTCTCCTCGAAGTAGAATTTGCCTAGCTTATCTCCGTCCTTACCGGAAGGATTGCCTAGGACCGGAGCGCGCGCATTTTCACCGCTATCGAGACGTTCTCGAATGATGCGCTCAGCGGCTTCGCGTGTTGCGGGACCACCCACACCTTCACGAAGTGCGCTTGTCCGGGGCTGACCAGGTTGAACGGGTACAGGTCCGCGGGTTGTGGTGTCAACAAACACATCGTCATCTGAGGTGCCGACGTGGCCGCCACCATCCACAGCCACGCCATCGACGTACTTGGCCTGACGTGTCTCCGCTGCGGCGGTTGCGCTGATCGGAGTATCATTTCCCACGTCGCGCATCTCTCGGCTACGATTCATAGCCTCCTGACTGAGACCGGAGCTACTTCTCTCCAAGCCCCAGACGCCAGTCGCGCCAGCGGTGCCGGGAAGAGGTCGACGGTGATAGATAGGCCCACTCACCGTGCTGTTTGCGCCTTCGCCAAAGGCGACAAGGCTAGCGGTACCATCATCGCTCATGCGGTCCTCGAAACCCCCGACCGAGCGACTTGATATGTCCTCGTCCATCGGGTCGATGCCGCCAGAGGTAGAATCAACGTCCATGGTGCGATAGTTAGTATCCATGGACATGCCATCCTCATCAACCTCAGTCAGATCCGCATCCATGTCGGCGTCGGCAAATTGTTCCGCCTCAGTGGTGGTTCGCGCACCGACACTACCTGTCGCGGAAGCCGTACCAACGGTGCTCATCTTAGTAACAGCGGTGGGCTGACCGTTCGAATCGAAAAAGGCGGGCGTCAGGCCGGCGGCAGCTGCTGCTGCCTGTTGGGCGGCCGTAGGGGCGGGTGCATTCTGTGTAACGTTGGCGTTGCTGCCTTGCTGGTTTTGGTTGGGGGCGCGGAGGGTAGATACACGTTCAAGGCCGGCAAGCCGGCTAATTCGATCAGCACGTTCGGCTTCAAGGGAATTCGTGGACGAGTGGTGCTGATGTCGGGGGCCTCCGAGGCCATGGAAGGCATGGCCGCGGTGGCCATCCTTGATTGCGGTCGTGGAGAGGGCGGAGAGGGAGGTGGTAGTACTCGTCGGTGTTCCACTATAGTTGCTCAAGTTAGAGGACGAACGAACGGGTGAGGAACGACCGTATAGAACGGAAGGCGAAGAGAACCTGCGCGGGGTGGCAGGCCTAATCGAGCATATGGGTGGTGCAAGTGGTGCATATAAAGGACTAAACAGAACATACGGCATGTCCGACGGCGTCTCTGGGTTAGACGCTGGCGGAGGCACGTTAATGAGCATCGGTGCTGTGGGTTGCTGCGACATCGTTGCTGTTGTTATTACGGTGATGGGAGGGAAAGATCCTATTAATGATTCGGGTTCAAATTAAGATAAACAGATTCGCGTCGTTGGCGCGTTTTAGTAAGAACTCGAGAGGGTGCCCGTCGCGGATAGCGGGATGAGGATATGGGCTGATGTGATCGCTGATGGATAATGGAAGAGAGATGGTGGGCGGTGGATGGCGGATGGTGGGGTTCTGGGACGATAGGGAGAAAGACAAGGGACTGTTTTTGATCAGTCGCAGGCGTCGGGAAGATCGCCTCTTGATCGTTGAATTGACGGATGTCCAATGTATCAATTGAGTAGAATATTGAGGATTCTTTGTTGAAAACAAATCGTGGTAGTCAATCAAGTTGGTTAGTTTGAAGTTGAAAAGAGGAAATATGGGTTGGAAGGTAGAATGTTGAACTAAGGACGGAGGATGAACACATGAACAATTCAACTGAGCCGATTGTTTTTCGGTTGTTGCAACTTGCTGCGTCTTGCATAGGTACCTACCGTAGGTACTAGGTAGCTCGGTAGGTACAGTACCGGGTAGCGTAGCAGTGCACATCGAGTGCACCTAGCAGCTAGCTAAGGTTATTTTGAGCTAAGGCGGGGGATGACGTAGGGCTGTTAATTAACCCAATTTAGCTCTAGTGCCCTGTACGATCCCCTTTGTTTTGGTACTTACGTGCATTTCCTTAGCGACCTGAAGAATTCTAGCGATTGATGATACCTCCTATCCAATCGTATGTGCGAGACACTTGAAATCCCATGGACATTTGAATTACCATACTACCTGGTAGCTACCCTGTTTTTGTTTTTATTCTATTTTATTTTCCAATCAGATGAATTACAAGTCGTAGCACTCCGCTCCTCTGCAGACACTCGAGATCATTGTTGCAAATTAATCGACGTCATCATCGAACCCCATTTCCCCAACTCCACGACAAAGGGACCGGGACCGGGACCGGGACCCAAACCTCAGAATACTCCAGGGGTGAAATCGATAACTTGGGCTTCCTCAAGTATGTCTCGGATACTTGCAGCGAACTCTAGTTGGATCGGATCATTCTCGACATGATATTTCCTGTCTTCCTCATTCTCAAATTGAAGGACGAACGCATGAGTCATTCCATGCTATTACGAAGCTGGTCAGCCCAGATTCAGGGAAAACATTGTAAGACTTAACCTGTCGACCCTCAATACTATTATCTTTTCCGCCTCCTAGCACTTTCACATATGGCTTCTGGGATGTGGCGTGGATACAATTTGTCTCAAAATCCAGTACCCGCTGGCAAGCCTGAATAGAGTCAGTCTACTTAGGTATCCGTGTCAACGGTTACTCACAGCCTTATCCTCGTCAGGCGGCACAAGAGCTTTAAACTTGAATAGGACAATATGATAGACCGTCATGGTGAAATTTCTGCAAATTTAAAAATTTTATCTACTTGGATATTAGATAGGTATGAACCGTTCCATGTTCAGATGTTCAATGTTGGTTGTGCTTATATACTAGGTATTCTGTCATTGTTTTCTAAACAATCAGCTAAAGGTCATTAGCCCAGAGATACGTGCACAAATAAAGTACATATGTACCTATTACTATGCGTAATCATGCAGCTTCGCAGCCAATAATCAGCCATTGATGGACGGTTGGCCATATGACAAAAACCGCCAAAACCGCCAATTCACAAAAATCTTCAGAACATACATATAGCGTATCATTGTTAAATACATATTTTATATAATATTTGCATTTATACTTTTATTAGGGGTTTATTTTTTTAAATTTTTATTATATTAAAAATATAATAATTTATTTATTTTAATTTTATTATATATTTATTATTATTATTATTATTATTATTATTATTATTATTATTATTTAATTTATTAAAATAATTTAAATATAAAATTAATTTTTATTAAATTAATATTAAATAATTTTTAATATAAATATTTTAATATTTTAATATTTTTTTTTAATAATTAAAAAAATTTTATTTATTTATTTTATTTATTTATTTTTATTTTTATTATTTTTTTATTTAAAAAATATTTTATATATATAATTATTTATATATATATTATATTTATATTTAATTAATTTAATTAATTAATTTATTATATATTATTAATTTATTTAATTAATTTTAAATAATTAAATTAATAAAAAAATTATTTAAAATTAAAAAAAAATTATAATAATATAATAAATATATAAATTATTTAAATTATAATAAAATAATTAATTTATATTTTTAATTATATTAAAATTTTAATTATTTAATTAATTAATTTAAAATTTTATATTATTATAAATATAATTAATTTAAAAATTTATAAAATTATAAAATTATAAATTTATAAATTAATAAATTAATAAATATATTATATATTTAATTATATATTTAATAATTAAATAATTAAATAAATAAAATTATTTTTAAATTTTAATTAAAAATAAAAAATATTAATTTAAATTAATTTTATATATAAAATATTTTAATTAATATTAAAATTATTTTTATAAATATAATTTTATTATTATAATAAAAATAAATATAAAATTTTATTAATAATTTTATTTAAATAATTTTATTTTTTAAAAATTTAAATTTAATTTAAATTTTTTATTTTTAAATATTAAAAAATTAATTATAATTTAATATTAT